AAAGATGGAAACACATACAAATCAGAAACATGCAGCCGTCATCATCCACAGTCAAGTTAAAATGTTGTATATTTTTCCCGTTTTCATAGCTGAAAACTTCAGATCTTAGACCGAACTCGCTCACCCTGAGTATTTAATTCATTCTTCCTGAAAGTATCCAGGGCAGCAAATAACCAAAATACAAACTATTATATAAGGAAGGTGCAAAGTTAAAAAAGAATATGTGTGGAGAATGCCCCCTTCCCACCCCCCAATCAAAGGCAAACAATGGCACTTTGCTCTTGCTTAACCTAGATTGTCTTCAAAAATTATCGAGGGCAAAGTTCCAAACCAGTTTTCCAGTTAGGGCTGCTGCATCCTAAGCTTACAATATTTTTCCACTTCAGACCTCTCATATGCTTTCAGAAATTCCTCAGCTGGTAACTAACTCAATTCTAACTCCATCATTTATAAGGGAATTTTTTTTTGTCCTAGCTGAGAAAAGGACCTTTCTGGGGTCGGTCATACAGTCAGTTATTAGCAACAGAGTCTGTGCTTTCACCACCATATCAAGGAAACGGACAGCCTTCTGGGTCTACATATCCACAGGGGGCTCCCTAGGGACTCAGCACTGGAAAGGTGGGCAGAGGCGGTTGATAGGTGGTTTTCCTTACTGAGAACGCCAAGTTCCCAGGAGCGTCTCTCCTCTGAACCGATGCAGTCATTTCAGCACCATGGTCAGGGGCACGCCGCCGCTTTTCAGGACCTCGGTGCCCGACAGTGTTAGCCAGGCATACGCTCTCTCCCACCGCTTTGGTCCTCGGATCGCAGAAGCAGAGGGGGCACACAGCAGCCTGTGAATGTCGCTAGGGTTCCGGAGAGCGGCCAAAGCGCGAGGGAGTCTCTTGGTCTTACAAGACCCAGAGGACACAGCTCAAGTCAGTACATAAACACCTAGAGACTGAGTTGGCAAAGAGGGAGAGAGCTCTAAACTACTAGCCTAGAGCCAGGGTCATACTTTTAGCTTGCTCCAATAACTCACCGAGTGATTGAGGGCCTTGGGCAAGTCACTTACTTCCAAGACTTTGGGTCTCTATTTCCATGGGTGTCACCATCCTGCCTTGCCCCCCTCACCGGCTGTAGGAGGGGACCTGAGATAAGAAGTGTCCAGCCCCAAGTCTCCCACAGTCTGTGCTCTTGGCCCTTTGAAGGTGGAGCAGGCAAGTAAGGTGAGTGAGTGTCCCTGACGCCCCCCACTCCTTCTTGCGCACAGTCTGCAGATATTGAAAAGGGGAGGAGAGGGAAAAGAAACCTGACAGAGAATCTTAATTGCATATATGTGAAATGTAATTATAATATACTCAGCATTTGTTCTGCACCACATTCTCAGCCAAATCTCCTCTCCCTCTCGCCCCCACACACACTGTACACACACTGTTCCCCTGGGTCTAAAGAATCTTTCCCACTGTCTCTTTTCCGTGGTCGCCCGGGCCTATAATCCCGTCCATCATAAGCAAGGCCTTCTCTTAAGCCCCCAGAAATCCAGTGAAAGGGTATTAGGGACTCTCTCCAGCTTCTCATGTGAATTAGCTGAGGCTCAGAGACTTGTCCAAGGTCACACAGCCGGGCAGAGTGGCCTTTGGGTGAGAGGGGGGGCAGAGGGCGCCTGTGGGGTTGCGTGCTCCCCCGGCCCCGCCTGCCTTTGTGCCAGCCCTGCGGCCAGGCTCCCAGACATTAGCATTCCAATAGCCCTGGGACGCTTTGTCCTCCGACTGTGGGCCGGCTTGGGGATGGGGTGGGATGGGGGCAGGACACCATAAATCTACCTGCTTGTGTGTGCGGACGGGGTGGGATGGGGTGGCCGCAAGATTCATGTGCTGTTTTTCTGGAAGCCAGGGCTCAGACAAAGGCACAAGAGGGGGAAGGGTCCTTTGACCGGAGCATCCTTCCTGGCCCAGCTTGGGACCCTGTCTAGGTTTTGGGGAGCTGGGGCGCAGGCGACGACCTCAGACCATGGGAGGTCCTGCAGCCACTCTAGCTGAGGTGTAGTGGGTGGGCTTCCAGCTGAGACCCAGAGCAGCCTGACCAATTGTAAAAGCCGCCGAACGCAAAATGCCCGAGGACGGGTGGGGGTGGGGCGGGCGTAGTGGTGATGCCACTGGGCTAGTTGTAGGCGCCACCCAGAAATGTTTCCTCGCCCTTCTTGATGAGGGGCTCTTTGGAAACAGGCGTGGATGAGGTTTCCCATCTCAATACTATTCCATGCGCCTTGATGGAACTCATCCTGGGCAAGGAGCCCTAAACCTTCCTCCACCTCCTCCTGACTTGGAGACTAGAGCTGACAGCTCTGGGGGATCAAATCCACCCTGACCCAAGGTGGCAGCCCAGTATGCGAGTTGGTTAAATAGTACTTTTTTTTTTTTTTTAATTTGTGGGGTGAAGGACCAGTCTGCGTGTGTTGGGTGACTAATAGCTCCTTAATGAGCGCCCTCACAGGCAGGAGAGGGACTGGGCAGTGGGTGTCTCCACCTGGAACACAGGGTCCACACTTTTTCTGCTTCTGGAAGCCATTCACAACAAAGGAGTCCCCTGCCTATTTGAACACTACTTTCCACAGCCTTTCACAGGAAGAATGATCTTCCTGCTTGAGGACTTCCTCTCCAAACCTTTAGTCCTGGCCCAGAATGCCACCTTCTCTGGCAAGCTTCCCAATCTGACTGCAGATAACAGTCCCACTGTCCCTTCTGTGGCTCCTACCTCCACTCAGCACCAATGTTTTTTAGCCTTGAATGATTTTGTCTATATACTTGCTATTGTCCTAGGAGGACAGAGATGGACCTTCCTGATTTTTATGTCTTTCCACCCCTCCCCCCAATGCCCAGTAATTAGCAGACCCTGGCTTGGTCTGTGCAACTTGGAGCTGCTGACACCTGCCCCAGGGTGGTGCCCCAGGTGGAAAATTGGCTGCTGCAGAAGTCACCAATAACCCATTAATCTTTTCCTTCCAGATTAAAGCCATGAAATACAACAACAGCCTCATTCATTCGTTTGCAGCGTCCCCCCTCCCGCCCCCCAAATCCAGCCCCTGATAACTAAGACTTATCTCCTCCGAGCTACCTTTAGGGACCTAGGAAGAGAGGAGAAAGGAAAAGCTCAATTTGAAGCGGGGAGGGCATAAGAGGCAGAGACAAGAGGCATTAACCCCTGCAAAGCCACCACCTTTGCACTCTAACACAGGAAAGCAACCTACCCTACCCAACCACTCCCGGCCCCTGACTGTGCCATGCATTCCCCACTGGGGTTGGCCTGCTTCTTCCCCTGGCACCCAGGGCCAATCCAAGGAGGCCTCCGGGGTTCAACTCGTAGGGTAGTGTGCCCACCCTCCATTTTCCTGTTCCTGAGAGTCAGGCCTGGGTTTTAGAGCTCAAACCTGCTTCCCAGAGGTCCTGGGGGGTCTTGGAAGCTAATGTGGGGCTGCTCCAGCAGTGCTCTGGGGACGTGTCAGTGTCACTGTGCATCAGCCCTACTCTACCTTGGAAGTAATAGAGAACACGGGGCTGGAAACCTTGAATAGTTCCTTGAAAAGAATAATAGTTTATTCAGTCAAGTTTGCTGGGTGTTGCGAGGTGTCAGAGACTGCAGCCGGACCCTCCACTTTCTCTACTCCCTGCTGCTTAGTTCCATGAGTCTAATGCCACAGCCTCAGCACCGGCAGCAGAGTAAGATGAGCTCAGAAGATGTGCTTGGGCTCTAAGCACTTTGGGAAAATTCCTGGGATGCCCAGCCTACCAGCATTTCTGAGGGTTCTGACCCTGCTGCAGGGTTATTACTCCCTCCCTTACCCAAATGCAACAGTCACTCTAAATCCAGGCTAGTGGCATAGGGGAAAGGGCCAGCACCACCAGTGAGTAACCCTAGTTGGAGGCTTGTCTTTCTCCTAAACCACTGTTTGGAATAAGACAAGTCGCTGCCCCATAACTAAAACAAGGGGGCTGAGCCAATGATTTTTAAGAGCCTTCCAGCTCTTCCTTTCCAAGTGTGTATGGCTGACTTGCCCTGAGAATGCAGTCTGCCTGGCCTCCAGCCTAGCGCCATAGTTTCTCAGACCAGGCCTCAGGAGGGGCCCCAGATCCCCAGAAAAACTCTCATCCCTCTCCTTGGACAGGGCCCTCCTCCCCCAACCCCAGCTGCAGAGGCTGGGCCCTCCCCTCTGCACCGTCAAGTTACCTTGCTCAGGCTTCTTTTTATTGGTTCAAAATCTCATTCACCAGTCCCTAAATCATCTTATGTACAAAATAAAAACTTTTCCCACTGTGAAATCTCATCAATAAATACAAACGTGTAAAACAGGGGAGGGGCCATATAATTTACCAGACAAAAATTCATTTCAAAAGGTATCAGATAATTTACAAACTGATTTTCTTTCTTTTTTTTTTTTTTTTAGAGACAAGGGTGCTTCAGTTTGCAGGGTGGTGGTGGAGGCGCTCCCCCAGCCGAGCTGGCGCTTTCCCTGTTCATAGCCTCGTCTCCCGCCCCTGGGAGGGCAATGGCTCCGGGAAATTGCACGAGGAGAAGGCAGAGGATCGCCTTGGTGAATTAAGGCAGAGTAGAGAGGCCCAAGCCCCGGGGCTTGATAGGGACTAGAGGAGGTCAGCGGCATCTTTGAAGAAGACACGCTGGGCAACGGGAGCAAGTGCTGAGAAAGCAAATATTGGATTAAGCCGCATTGGGGGAGGAGTGGTAAGAGACAGACCGGCAGACAGACTTCAGTGGGGGTAGGGTGGCAGAGACAGTGGGTGTCACCTGCTGTGTAGTGCTATCATTCTCGTCTTTTCTGCACGAGATTTTGGGGTGGCCACAGGGAGAGGGCCTAAAACGCGTGGAGCCTGCAGTGCCCACTCGCGCGGGCAGCGGCAGAGGGTTGCAGTTGGCTCGGCGCAGAAGACCAAGGGATTTGAACCCGGCCTGCCACCCTCTTGGGCGCCTGGGCCCGCCAGGGGTCAGCGAGCCAGAGGCAGCAGGAGCAAGTACGCCTGAGGGCCTCCACCGGGCGTCTCCGACGGCTTCCGCCCCTTCCCTTTCTACCATCACCCACTGCCCAGCAGCGGACAGGCCCCTTCACAGAAAGTCTGAAAAAGCCAGGGCGCCAGGGTGCAGCAGGCAGGCAGGGGAAGCAGGCGCCTGCAGCCCGGGGCGCTCCTCCAGCGAGGCGGCGGGACTCAGGCTGCCCGCCTGGGAGACCGGGGAATAGAGGGAACCCCAGTCTCCCGGGGAGCCGCCGTCCGGGCTGGCCAGCTCCTCACAGTGAGGCGCAAGAGACTCCAGCCCGTAGAGGCTGTGGTCCGCTATGCGCAGCGTCTGCGTCAGCGCCCAGATGTAATTGTGAGCGAAGCGCAGCGTCTCGATCTTGGTGAGCTTCGCATCGTCCGGGAAGGTGGGCAAGACGCCGCGCAGCGCGTCCAGAGCGGAGTTGAGGTTGTGCATCCGATTGCGCTCGCGGTCGTTGGCCTTCTTGCGCCGGCTCCGTCGCTGCTTGCTCAGAGCCAATTCACTCTTGGGGCGGCTGCGCCCTCCGCGTCGCGCACGGAGCTTCCTTGAGGACCCTCGGCAACCGCTCCCTTCCGTCTCGGCGCAGTTGCCCTGCAAGCGAGTGGGGCTGGGCGGAGCGGATGCGACGCAGGTCACTTCGTCGTCCGAGGCACCCAGGAAGGGCTGCTCCGTCTCGTGGGTCACTTGGACAGCTGGCGCACACGAGGGATGAGGCGTCATCCTGCGGCGGGGTTAGAGGTAAGGGTGAGAGTGGGTCAGTCACCCGGGCTCAGTTCCCGATCCTGGGGCCAGGTGGGAAAAATCGAGAGAAAGCCACCCCCCACCCCCGCCGGACCGGAGGACCCCGTTTCTCCTCTGCTCATCGCTCTGTGGCTCCAGGCGTTACCTTGCTGTAGGGCGCAAAGGGGTAGAGAGCCGTAGGCAGTGAGAGCAGCGGTGAGCTGCGCTGGCTTCTTCGTCTCCAAGTTCAGCTGAGAAGCAGGCGCCGCCGCTGGAAAGTTTCTTCGGCCCCAGAGAAGAAAAGTGTAAAGGGGGCCCCGGGCCTCTTTTGCCGTCTTTTGGCGCGGCTGCGAGACACTGCAGATTTTCTGAGCCGCCAGTCGTGTGCCCCCCTTGGCACGCTTTATCTGCTGCGCCCGGGCTAGGAGCGTGCCTGCCCCGCTGCTGCCCGCGCCGCCGTCCAATCAGCGCCCGGGCCAGGGGGCCGCGCCACGCGAGCCCGCTCCGCCCTTCGAGGGGCACAGCTGGATTCCGGACAAAGGGATGGATGGGGTCGGGGGAGGGGAATGCCGCTCTGTTTGCTTTCTCCCCGCGGGCTCTGTCCCAGCAACTCTCGGTTCCTCAAAGAGCCTCGCGCAGTGAGAAGGGCCTTGTCTAGCTCGCGTCTGGCGGCCCCAAACCGCTTTGCTCCTATTCTGGCTTTCCTTGGCATCTGTCCAGACCCTTTCTTGGAACCCGGAAGGGGGCTTTGAGAAGTCAGTAGGGTAGGTCAATCCCCGTGTGTTACACAAGGGGAAGCTGAGGCTCAGAAAGGCGGCAGCTTGCCCCCAAGCCACTCTGAAAGGACAAGCAGCCCGGTGCCCTGTCGGCTTGGAGGAGTCCACTCATTCCTAGCGCCGCTCTGCTCTCCTCCTCTGTGGGCCAGGTTAGGAAACACGGAGGGTGATGTTTCACTGACCCCTTCTATTTCGGGACGAGGCACAGGGTGACCACAGACGGAGATCCTGCCTGTGTCCCTGCCACTTAGAGACCTTTGCCTGGGGATGGCGAGCCCCCCACCGTGCCCTGAGATGATGCCCCACGCTCAGATGTAGGTGCTTAGAACATCTTCCCTCATCCCACCACCCATCGGAAACCTAAGACATTCTTCTCGTGCCTCAGAGTTGGAGGGTGGCAGTGGTGGGACCTCCAGGGGCATTCCACCACTGCCAATTGTGGACAGTACCCTAGCAATCTGCCGGGGCCTGTGGGGGAAGAGCTCGGATGGGAAGGGGTCAGGAGAGGGCCAGGAGTTCACAGCGAGCCCCTGTGTGTTTTAAATGCCCCTGGAGTGCCGGTGCTTCAAGAAGCAGATCAACTCTTTCTCCCCTTAGTCCTCCTGTCCAATCACAGGCCGGCAGGGGCTGCCTGCACTACCTGGTACAGCCCCCTAGGCAGGGGTCAGGCAGTGAGCACAAGGCAGGGTGTCCTCAAGACCCCCAGTTAGCAATGTGTGGAAATAAAAGTGAGTCTGAACACACCACCCCTCCTTTCTTCCCCTGCCTGTCCCTTTGTCTCTGCTTTGGACACCCTGTGGTCTTCTGCTTCTGGTCAGTCAGGGTGAGTGTGCCCCCGGGGAGAAAGCCGAGTCTGGGAAGACCGGGGTCTGGATTAAGTCTCTGTAGGCCCCGAAGGCTTCACTTTCTAGCAGAACCAGATAACCTGAGCCTCTGGAAGCTGGCAGACGGGGGCAGGGCCCGGCAGGGAAACTGAGGGGATAGGGTGAGGGAATGAAGTAAGTCAGTCTGCATATGTGCCCTAGTGACAGCCTCTTGACACTTGCCCAGTCTGCTCGGAGGGCGAAATTACCTTGAGGCAGAGAGAGGGTGGATATGCTTGGGAGCCAGGGAGCCAGAGCTCTAGGTCTGCGTGGAGGTGACGGTGCTGTCCTCAGGATCTCAGCTGGCGTGCTGTTGGCAGAGGCTCCTTCCCTTGTTGCTTGGGAACTGAAGCTAGGAGCCAGGCTCCAGACCAACAAAGGGACCCTGCCGAGACTCCTGAGTTCCACATTTTGCTGCTGCTCCTCCCTTAGGTCACAACTTGCTCCAAACTTGTCTTCTAGTCATAAGAATGAGAATCTTAGGCCCATTTTTTTTTTTCCCCGGTACGCGGGCCTCTCACCGTTGTGACCTCTCCTGTTGTGGAGCACAGGCTCCGGACACGCAGGCCCAGAGGCCGTGGCTCATGGGCCCAGCTGCTCCGCGGCATGTGGGATCCTCCCAGACTGGGGCACGAACCCGTGTCCCCTGCATTGGCAGGCGGACTCTCAACCACTGCGCCATCAGGGAAGCCCCTTAGGCCCATTTTACAGATGGAAAGTCAAGGCCCAGAAAGGGTAAGTGACTCAACGCAAGGTCACACAGCAAGTTCTAGCAGAATCACATAGAACTCAGGTCCTAAGACTCCTAGTCCTAGATTCTCCCTTGCAGCTGTTGCCTCTCTTTGATTGGGGGAAATTTTTTTTTTTCAAGGCAAAACCAGACATCCGCAAATGTAGAAGATAGAAGTCCTGGGTCTATGAGGAATGACAGGGTCAGAGGACAAAAAGGATAGTGGCCCCATCTCCCAGTGCCAAGGGGAGCCAGTATCCACTCAGGCTCCATCTCTCTACTTTCTCACCCTATACACCTGCCTTGCTTGATTTCTATCCTGCAAATTAGAATCTGAGAGAGGAAACCCAAAGCGTGCTTCCCTAGGGCTAGGGGACCCAGCCTGGCTCCGAGGAGGGAGCCCTGGCCATAAGGGATCAAAGCACCCCTACGGGTCCCTGGAGGCCTGAAGAGCAGCCCACAACCAGGGCTCTCATCCTGCAGTGGCCCTCAGATGAGAACTGAAGGCGGGACTCGCCTTGGCTCAGTCTTGCTTCAGGTGGCCCATGTGTACTGATGAGAGCCGCAGGGCAAGCTTTCTGCACCAGGGAAGATTCTGGGGATATTTGGGAATCTTCTTGACTGGGAGAGAATTCTGGCACCTTCTGAGAATTCTTATCTAGCTTCCCCAGCGCCATTCCAGCTCAGGGCTCTCCAGGGCTTGCGGGCCGCCACCACTCCTGCTTTGCGCAAAACACAGGGCGAGGAGCGCGCAGCGGCCGGGGGCAGCGATCTCCTTGAGGCACTCAAGAACTCTCCGCAGCCCTTCCTCTGGTCTGGAGGGTGGGGCCGGGGGTCGAGGAGTCCTGGGGGATTAGAGATCAAGGATCCACGTCTTCCCTTTCAGCTGCAGAGGATGCGCAGCCCCCTCTCCAAAGTTCATTCCTGAACTTTTGGCGGCGGAGGCGCAGGCTGTGACAACTCAGTGTGCGCTGGCGGTATTTGTGATAGGGCTCTTCCAGCCGGGAGCAGAGCCTGTTCCTGAAGCCCCTGGCCGGCCACCGCCTCTAAGGCCTTTGGGAACCCCACGCCCCTCACCTCTGAGACCTAGGCTTGCCTGGAGGCTGAGGGGGCCCAGGAGAGAGGCGACAGCCTGATGCCTGGAGACCGCGGGCAGATTGGAAAAGAAGGAAGGCAGCGGGCTGCCCTGCCGCCTTCCCGTCGGCGGGGGGAATCTTAGCAGTGCCTGGGGGCTCTTTGAGAAATGAAGGGAAGGGAGGGGGGCCACAGGAGGCTGAATAGCTAATGACTTGCCAGAGGAGGGGGCTTCTTTCTCTCGCCTTCGCCTCCGCACTGAAAGAGGGCAAGACAAAAATCTGGCGAGCGAGCTGCCCAGGCCGAGACTAGCCACTTCAAACAGCCCTTCAAACAAAAGGAGACGACGAGAAGAAAGCCCCACCTGTCTCCAGTGTTTGCTAAAATAATAATAAATAGATTTCGTTTAATAAATAATTACAAGAGATTGTAAAGTGGAGTGCTTTGGAAAACATCTACTGCGGGAGTCCCACAGCCAGTCGTCACCTGCTCCCAAGGCGGGCAACTTTATTGTTAAGCCACCCCCCAACTAGTTTGCCTTGATAAACCCTCTCTCGTTTTCACAGTGACTGTTTACTCATAGTTAGCACAATATTACCTTTGCCGTGATAAACCCAGATGGGGGAGACCTGGCCCCTGGGCACACCTGTCCCAGAAGCTGACACATGGATTTGGCACGGAGCAGGCCTTCCCCCGCCTCCCCTGGCCTTCCCCCGTGTACATTGGCCCAATTGCCAGCCATTTATAACAGGTTGGCTGCAAGGCCTATCTCGGTCCTATTTGTCTTCTTTTATTGAAAGCATATGGTCTCCAGGGGCTCACCAGCCCCATATTTCATCTGCCGGGAGCTGGGGCGCTTCCGCAGGCTGGTGCTGCCCTGCGCTTCGCTCCCCACCCAACGGCTGCTGCAGCCAGCTGAGAGGATGGCGGAGGTGGGGTGGGGAGAGATAAGGAGGGCTCCTCATTTGCTTTGGGAGAGAAGCTATTCCCCCAGAGACTCCCCCTCCCCGACTCAGGGAGCTCGTGCGCTCCTGAATGGGTAGCCGGTTCTTTTTCTTGGGTAGGTGAGAGGGCGCCATATGCCACCCCCCAGGGCGCACGAGGGAGCTCCGGCCCGGGGAGTCCTCGAACAAAAGGAAGAGAGGGCCCCGGACCTCAGGAGCATCCGAGGTCTTTATTTGCAGATGCCCCTCCCTGCCTAGGGCCGCCTCCCCCGGCGGGTGTCCGTAGCCTCGCAAGCAGCGCCTGGAAACAAAGTGTCTACATTATCTCCGCCGCCGACGAAGACAGTGAATGCGTGAAAAGGTGCATTGCGCACCAAGACACCTGTTGAAGCGGCGCCTCTTCTCAGCGCCTCTCTCTGCTCTGCCTTCAGTTAGGAGGGAGTGGGGGGTGGGAGGAGGGAGAGATACTGTGATTTGTGGCGACATATGTTGAGCAGATCGGTGTGTACTCTTCACAGGGACACACGCACCCTCGCTCCCATACACACCCCGAGAGAAGGAGCAGCTGCTCTCCTCACCTTCTCCCGACATAATACCTGGGCCAGGCGCTTTGGCGTAGCCTTTTGAGACTCCAGCTATCCCCA